GTCAAGGCACTCAGCAGGAACACCTGACTGACAAGATGGGGTGAGATGATGGCAAACAGGACCTTTACAGCAAGAAACCCGCTGGCCTCCCTCCACAGGAGGGTGCTGAACATGTACCCCATAGAAACAAACAAACAAAAATTCTGCAGAAAGAATAAATACTTGAGGACAGCTATGGAGGAGAAGGGAGGACTGGTCCCACGATGATACACAGCTATAACTATGTGGCAGTTTGAATGGGAATGTCCCCCATAGGCTCATGTATTTGAAAACTTATTCCCTGGTTGGTGGTGCTATTTGGGGAGGTTGTGAGAGACAGTACGTCATGAAGCTTCGCTGGAGGAAGTACATCACTGGGCGGGGGGGGGGGCACACTTTGAGATTTACAGCCTCACCCTACTCCAGTTGGCTCTCTTTGCTTCCTGTTTGTGGTTGAGATGTGATCTCTCAGCTTCTTGCTGTATCATTTGCCTTCCCACCATGATGGGCTCATCCCTTTGAACCTTAGACCCAAATAAACACTATTGTCTATAAGGTTTTTTTGGTTGTAGTATTTTATCACAGCAAGAGAAAAGGATTAAAAACTACAAGGCCATAGTAACCAAAAGTATGTTCATGTGGCTTTAGAAAGGGGGGGGGGGGGCAAGTAAAGAAAATGAGGGAGGGAGGGAGGGAGGGAAAGAGCGAAGGAGAAGAACCAATGAAACAGCCTGGAGAGCTGAGACAGACCCTGTCTGTGTGAGACCTTGGTAAAGAGTGGAAGTGGCCTCACAAGTCAACGTGGCAAAACAGATTACAGAGTAGAGCCACAGGGAAAACCTTCTCACCATCATAAAGGCAAACTAAAGAAGCTCTTTGCACCTCAACAAGTGCAAACAGTTGAAACAGAGTTTAAAATGTAAACCATACACCAAATCAGATTGGTTCTATGATATTAAGGATCTTTGCTGAACAAAGGGCATGATAAACAAAGCTATTAGACAGTACCAGAATTAGAGGAGATTTTTTTTTTTCTGTCTTTTTGAGACAGGGTTTCCCTGTAGCTCCAGCTGTCCTGGAACTCACTATGTAGACCAGGCTGGCCTTGAACTCACAAAGATCCACCTGCCTCTGCCTCCCAAGTGCTGGAATTAAAGGCGTGCACCACCATATTTTACAAAGTCTAAAATCAGTAAGAGACTAATATCCACTGAAAGGAAAGAAAATTAAATCCTCCTTTGAGGGTGACATTGGGGCTGGTGATTTGGCTGAGCAATTAAAAGTGCTTGCCACCAAGTCCTGAATTCTGTCCCTGAGGGGGAAAGGAGCCCATAGTGCTGGTGTAGAGGTGGGAGAACAACCTGCAGAAGTCTTCTTCCACTGTGCTGTCTGTGCGCCCCCCAACAACAAATGAATGAAAATGTAAAAAAAAAAAAAAAAAGGTGACATTAACCAGGCCTAATCTAATTAATTACCCATGCACAATGACTAGGGTTCAGTCAAAATTTTCAGAAATACATAGAAATAGGACACAAAGATTAGAGTTCAACGGCAAAGTTCACAACAGCAGCAGACCACAGGTGATACAAATACTGGTGCACAGGGACTTTAAACTGACGGTGAATGATATGCTTTCAAATAAAAAAATTTAGAAGGAACTGCATCTGTTTTTCAGATGAATACAAGTTCTAAACTGGAAAATAAAATAATTGAAATTAAGAATTTATTAGATAAGTTTAAAAGCATATTAGACATGTTAGTAGAGAAGAAACAGGAGCTGAAAAACAAATTAAGAAACAATGTCCACAGGGAGCAGAGCTGGCAGTGTGCCCTGTAGTCTACTGTACACACATAGTCTAGTGTGACCCATAGTCTAGTGTGACCCATAGTCTAGCGTACACACATAGCCTAGTGTGCAGCCATAGTCTAGTGTGCCCTCATAGTCTACTGTACACACATAGTCTAGTGTGCCCTGTAGTCTAGTGTGCCCCATAGTCTAGTGTGCCCATAGTCTAGCATACACACATAGTCTAGTGTGCAGCCATAGTCTAGTGTGCCCGTAGTCTAGCATACCCTGTAGTCTAGTGCGCACCCACAGTCTAGTGTGACCCATAGTCTAGTGTGCTCCACAGTCTAGTGTATACCTGTAGTCTAGTGTGCCCCGGAGCCTAGTGTGCAACCATAGACCCATAGTCTAATGTGCACCCGTGGTCTAGTGTGCCCCCATAGTCTAATGTTCCCCTATGCCTGCACATTAGACTAAGGGACACACTAGACCATGGGTGCACACCACACTCCAGGGCACACTACACTACAAGGCACACTAGACTATGGGTGTACACTAGGCTCCAGGGCACACTAGACTACCAGGCACACCATACTCCAGGTGCACACTAGACTACAGGTGAACACTAGGCTTCTGGGGCACAGTAGACTAATGGTATACACTAGACTACGGGGGCACGCTAGGCTCCGGGGCACACTACACTCTGGGTGCACACTAGACTACACATATACACTAGACTATGGGTGAACACTAGGCTCCGGGACACACTACACTACAGGTACACACTAGACTACATGTATACACTAGACTATTGGTGCACACTAGGCTCCGGGGCACACTACACTACGGATGCACACTAGACTACATGTGTACACTAGACTATGGGTGCACACTAAGCTCTGGGACACACTATACTATGGGGCACACTAGACTATGTGCGCACTCTAGACTACGGAGGCACACTAGCCTATGGATGCACACTAGACTACATGTGTACACTAGACTATGGGTGCACACTAGGCTCCGGGGCACACTAGACTATGGGTGCACACTAGACTACATGGCTCAACTAGAACATTTGCGCCACACTAGGCTCCGGGGCACACTAGACTATGGGTGCACACTAGACTACATGTGTACACTAGACTATGGGTGCACACTAGGCTCCGGGGCACACTAGACTATGTGTGCACTTGACTACGGAGGCACACTAGCCTATGGGTGTACACTAGACTATGGGTGTACACTAGACTACGGGGGCACACACTTATTACAAAAGGAGAAAATTGAGAATCAAGTATTAAAGATCCATGTCAATAAACTAGAAAATAGCAAATTAAATTCAAGGAAAGTAGAATAATTTTAAAGAGCCCAAATCAGTGATTTTTTTTTAACATGAATAAAGCAATGTATGTTCTCTCTCATTTGTGGATTCTAGCTCCAAATTCTTAGATACAAGTGTACCTCACAAAACTCATCAAGGAAGTTTCAAGAATAGGTGTCTGTGAGATGCCCAGTCCTAAGTGACTCATCTACAATGTAACCTCCACTCTAAGGCTCGGGGAGCGTAGTGGAACAGGAAAGGAAAGAGAATTAATGCAGCTCTCAACTCTTACCAGCAAAGCTTCTTCAGTGCAAGAAGATGATCAGCCCAGAAAGCCACAAATGGCCAAAGTGCAGAGAATAAAAGACTACAGAGTGTGTATGCCTCAATAGGACTCCTGTATCAAACTTCTGTCACCCAAGTCTCAGAGAGGTAGAAAGATTGTAGAGTCAGGGTGGTGGATGACCACAAGCAAACTGAGTTTTCCAGAGAGCTTGGAAGTCACTCATATAAACTCACAGCAAAGGTAGCAGCACACACAATTCCCACGTAAGCTCTGGCCAGACAAAATCCCAGCATAGTAGTGGGGAAGTGGGAAAGAAGGCCCGACCTTAGCTGAGGAACCACAGGCAACCAATAACTACTGGGAGAGGAAAAGTTGGTTTTCTTTGAGGGTGTGATGCTAGATAGGTTAGCCAGGATCCAGCGGATGGACACACACCAAAGGACATTTGGAACGCAAATTTGACTTGTTAAACCTTAATATGTGACAGAGTACATGAAATTCAGTGGAGCATGCTATAAGAGATGTACAGATAGGGGAGGGGGGTCAAAATATGATCAAAATATAATGCATGAAATTTGTAAAATTTCAATAAAATAATAAGTGCATAAAGCTAAAAGGTGGTTCTTTGAAAATACATAGTACTCATAAGACTAGCTGAGTTTATATGTGTTCACAGAGAAAAGGAGGGAGAGAGAAAGAGAAAACAAATCAGGAATGAAAAAGAGATATCACTATGGATCTTACAACTTTAAGATGATGGAAGCATATTTTAACTATGTAATTTTGTACCAATAAATTTTAAATATAGATAAAATTGTCAAACTTCTTGAAAAATACAACTTGGCAAAACTGGTGCAGAAGAAATAGAATTTCTAATTATAAATATTTTGACTGACTACATAATTTAAAACCTTTCAGAAGTCTTCGCCAGTAAATTCTACCATGTATTTAAGGAGACAATAAAATCAATCTTATACCAATTCTTCATGAGAATAGAAAGAAAGACTACTTGCAACATAACTATGTGCCAGCACCTAACAAGGGACTGCAACACGGAAAATGTGCCAATCTCCTCCTTGACATTAGACACAAAACTCATAGATAAAATATTAATAACTAAAATCCAATGATATATAAAAAGATATCATGGCAAAGATAGGCTCACTGCAGGAATATGATTAATTGAACATTCAAAATGAATCACTGTAGGAATCATCAATGGCCTATTGTGAAAAAACGACAGTAAAAACAAGGTCAAAGAAATAAAAATAACGCCCCCAAGGAGCCTTTAGAGCCTTTAGGAGCAGTGTATCACTGTCTAGAATGCAGGAAACTACCCACATGAGCTGGGTGTGCTGCTGCAGATGTGTTTTGGGACCATCTGCCTACAGCCTTCTTCAGCTATGGGGAAAATGGGATACACTGAGACCTCCCCAGAACTTCCGGAAAGTGTGACCTCTGGCACCATTCTCTTCTCGGCTGATGGTGGTCCCCCTGCCCTGCCTGCATCAGGCTTGCAGTGAGGACCCAGGAGACCAATAACACCCTTGGAAGCCAGGAGAGACTGGATGGTATATGCAAGGCAGTATTTGTTTTAAAAGCTACCGATGGCTCTGCACACCCACCTGAGAGGAAGGGGCTCACTGCCCTGCTGCTTGTATGCTCTTTCTAGTTGCTCCTGGGTCATCCTGGAATTCCCACCAGGTGAGCACAACCTCAAAGGTGTGTTGACCTCCGTGTGGCCAAATCCTGCTGGGCCATCCTCTGAAAAACTTCTGGGCCTGGGCCTGTCGCTCTGGAGTAGTCCCTGATTGCTGGCAGTGGCTTTCTGTTTCTCCCAGGCCAGTTCACTCGGCTGGCCCAGGGGCCTCCTAGCGATGGAGTCACTGATGGATGCCAGGACCTCCTGTGGGCCTGGATAGGCGAGGGTATGGGCAGAGAGCCCAGGCTGATGCTGCCTCTCCTCTGGGGCTTGGGGCTTCCTGCTCAAGGATGAGGACCTCCTCAGAGAGCCTTTGTGGAAAGAGTCCTGAGGGAATAAAGACAGAAGCAGTGAGGATCCACCACTAGGGGTGCTGAAAAAAAAACACATTCTCCATGATGGTTCCTCCCCAGGAAGGTCTGTTCCCATCTGACTCCTTCCCTGTTCTGGCAGGTGCCACCCAGTGCTCCTGACAATAGTGCTCATTCACTGACACCCCCACCTGAATAGACCCTGGAGCACCCTTGGGGTCTTTCTTACACTCCTTCCCAGACTGTTTCAGGTAACAGGGAAACCTGTCAGTCAAGTATCTAATTCATGTGTCCCCATTTACAAATGAATCACCTGTGGCAGCTGTTTAAGGACTCTGTCCCTCACTTACTCTCTGGCAATATAAGCTGGCAATATAAGCTGCTATTTCTATATCCCCATCCTCAGAAAATGAGGGTTTCCTCAGAAATCCTGTGATGAGCTATTTTCAACTATTAGGAGGTTGCTGCCAAGTTTTTAAGAAGTTAATATTCTCATGCTTAGCTACAGGAGTGTTTTCTGTTTACTTGTTTTGCTAGTGGAGTTATGTGCTATGTAAGTTATGCACTGTGCTAACTTTATGAAATATAAACAAACATATTCTAAACTAAAACACTTTTGGCCCTCAGGTTTGGGATGAGAGAAGGTCCCTCCCTAAGACCCCAGTTAGGATCAGGTACAGCCCTAGTACAGAATGGCACATCACGGCATCATAGTGGTCAGCAGACTGCTGCCATTCCCTATCTCCATTTACACAGGAACTCAACCTCTCCTGGTGGTAGATCAGGAATGGCCAAAGCCCTTCTTCATGAGACTCTGGTGTCCATGGAAAACCCCAGCTCAGCGGCCCATATCTCCTAAGCACTAAAGATTTTCTTAGTTTTTGAAAAGAAGGAACTCAAAGGACTCAAGTGGACTGTGCCCATTCCTATTAGTGATTTGCTGAGGAAATCAGTCATGGGGGCAGTAGAAGCAGGAGACTGTGGAGTGGCAAAATCAAGCTTCTGGGCTTTTCTTTGGTTTAAGCTTCAGGACCTCTAAGCATTTCCAAAAGAAACTCAGGGGCCAGTGGTGGCCTGGCTGGAAGGAGATCTAATTTTTATAGAATTCTGGCTGCATGGAAACTACCAGGCACTGAAAACTTGCTCCAGAAGCTGGCCAGGGCCTCCCTGCACAGACTGAGGAAGACATTAGTCACTGTTTCTAAGGAGACACAAATTTATAGTCTCTTATCTCATCCTTAAATACAGAGCTGACCTAGTAATAAAAACTGATGAAGCCAGGCGTGGTGGCACACGAATCCCAGCACTTGGGAGGCAGAGGTAGGCGGATCTCTGAGTTCAAGGCCAGCCTAGTCTACATAGTGAGTTCCAGGACAGCTGGGGCTACAGGGAGACCCTGTCTCAAAAACACCAAAAAAAAAAAAAAAAAAAAAAACTTGTTGAGATGAAACACCCAGCAAGCCTGGCTCCTCTTCTCTCGAGCACCCAGCAAGTGTAGCCAAACGTGGTCCAGAAAATCTAGGAAATTCTACAGCCACCACCCTCCAATGTCCTTCACAGGATTCAGATATCCCAGGGGGAACCTCTTCCCAAAAGAATCATCAAAGAAGTATGCAGAATGTCCTTGTAAGAAGGCAGAGCCAAGTCACCTCCTTCACACTGGTTATCAAAGTCTCACCTGCCCACACTAAACCATTACAATGTCATTGTAGGAGACAGAACCCTGACATCCACCATGTCTACCTGTTCTCAAAGTGTTGCCCACTGACATCTAGAGGCCTCCAGATCCTCTTAGGGGACTCAAAACAAATTTTGTAGTAAGTGCTATGGTTTGAATATGACTTGAGTATGTCTTCCAAGGTTTGTATGCTGCGAGTTTGGTCCCCAGTGTGGAGGTGTTGAGGCTGAGGAAACCTGAAGTGATAGGGCCCACAGAAAGCTACTAGATCACAGGGGCACCACCCTTTGAAGGGATCTGTACAGATCTCATGGGACTGGATTAGTTCCTACATGAATGGTTATAAAAGAGCCTGGCATCTGCCTGAAACCCGTTTCATACGCACAACACAGCCTGCCTCTGCCACATGCACACTATCGTTGAAGTCACTTGTGCTGTGATGGAGTCAAAAAGTCCTTACCAGAGTCCGAGCAGATAGGACAGCCTGATTTAGACTCTACAGCTCTAAAACTATGACCTAAATAAGCTCTTTTGAATGAAATATTAAGCATTAGATATTTTGTTAGAGTAACAGAAAACTGACTGAGGCAATAATAAAATGACTTGATTGGCCTTTTTCACCGTGACCTCGTATGTAAAGCAACAGTCAGAAAAGCTGCTGACTTTGAGCACCAACCTAGGCTGTGGCACCAAACTTTACTGTGCTGGACATCCTTCACTGCCACACACTTGCAATAAAGATGAACAAATATAATACTGAGTTTACCTAAGAATATCTCCACTGAAGCATAAACATGAACTTCACTCAGTCAACTGAAGAGCACACATCATTTCAATATTTTGTGTGACCAAACAGGAGGGATATACACAGTCATCTGGGTACAAAGGACGGCAGTTAGAGAGTTCACAACCATCTGTAAGTGGAGTGAACTTGCTGTAGTTTTCACAGAACCACTAACAGAAAGACCATGGTGATTCAGACCTGGGAATTTAGCAGGCATTTCTTGAAAATAAATTATGAATGTCACACCAAGGGAAACAAATAGTGTATTTTTGTCAGTGATAAAAATCCAAGTTGCTGGATAAAAATCAGAATTCTGGGAATCTTACATCAAACACTGTAAACTTCAGGGCTTGGAGGGATTTAAAATTTTTCTTGTAGTCTTGCGTGGTAACATCAACAAATATGATGTTTCATATAATGAAATGGGTCTCCATTTAGAAGATCTATATACTTCAATAAATAGTATTTTTCTTTTTTAAAAATATTTTATTACTTTTATGTGTATATTTCCTGCATGTATGTAAGTGCACCCATGTCATGCAATGCCCTTGAAGGTTAGAAGAAGACATCAAATCTCCCGGAACTGGAGTTATAGACAGTTGTTACCTATCATGTGGATTCTGGGAATCAGACCTGGGTCCTCTGTAAGAGCAGTCAGTGCTCTTAAGTGCTGAGCTGTCTCTCCAGCACCATACTAATATTTTTCAAATGGCCAATACATCATGTTATTTAACCATACAGGGATAAAAGACAGGGCAAGACAGGCCACTGGAACTGATAAGAAACAAAAAGTGCATTGACATAGTTTAAGATTCCACATTAAGGACTTGGACGATAAATATCAGACATGGTTGCACAAACTTATAATCCCAGCAACTGGAAAATAGAGGCAGGAAGATCAGAACTTCAGGGTCATCCTCAGCGACATAACGAGCTTGAGACCAGCCTGTGCTACCTGAGACCTTGTCTAGGAAAAAAATGGGCTGGAGAGGTGGCTCAGTGGTTAAGAACACTGGTTGTTCTTGCAGAAGACCTGGGTTTGAATCCCAGCACCCACATGGCAGCTAACAACTGTCCGTAACTCCAGTAGACCCAACAGCCTAGCCTCTTCTGACCTCCTTGGGCATTGCACGACACAGGTGCACTTATCTACATGCAGGCAATACATGTATACACATAAAATGAAATTTTTTTAAAAATTTAAAAAAAGAAACTACAATTTATCTAGTTTTAGGGTAGTATCAGAGGATACCCCTAGTTTTCTGGAAAAGCTACTAAAATTCTTTTTTTCTAATGGCTTACCTAAGGCCAAGCTTTACTCATAAAGCAATACACTGCAACAGACCAAAGGCAGACACAAAAATGATACCTTATCTTCTGCTAGGCCAGACATTAAAGAGATTTGCAAAGACATATATAAAACAATGTTACTATTTTTTTGTTTCGGGAAATATAATTTTTCAGTAAATATGTTGTGTTAAATGTAAATAGCTTATTACTATTGTTTTAATAATTATGAAGTAAATTATGTTAATTTTGAGTTTTAATTTCCTTTTTTCAGATTTGTTTTGTCTTTTTAGACAGGGTCTCACTAGGCAGCCCTGGCTTCCCTGGAACTCACTACTTAGACCATACTGGCCTGGTCTAAAGATATCTGCCTGCCTCTGTCTCCTGAGTCCTAGGATTAAAGGGGTGCAATACCAGGCCCAGCCCTAAGATTTAAATTATGTGTATATGTATGTATTTGAGTATGGGTTTGTACATATGAGTACAGTGCCTGCAAGTATCAGATGAGGGTGACAGATTTTCCTGGAGCTGGAGTCATAGGCACATGTGAGTCACCCCACGGGGGTGCTGGGCACTGAACTCCAGTCCCTTAGAAGAACAGTAAGCTCTCTTAACTGCTAAGCTCTCCCTCCAGACACAAGCTTTAATTTCTAATACAGCAAATGTTAACAGATTCAGTCTGCATAAACAGGAGCTTCCAGAATCCTTAATGTTAAATGCATGAAGATACCCTGAGACTTAAAGGTCAGAGAGGCACTGCTGCTAAAGTCCAAACTCTCACCAGACAGGCTCCCTTCTGCCATGTCCCCAGCAAGCAGAGCAACAAGTTGTCTCTTCACTCAACTCTAGTCCCTTCCAACACAACCTATTCACCACTGAAGGAGCTTTAACACACCTGGGACCATACAGCCTGTTCACCACTAACGGAGCTCTAACAGACCTCGGACCACACATCCTGTTCACCACTGAAGGAGCTCTAACACACCTGGGACCACACAGCCTGTTCACCGCTGAAGGAGCTCTAACATACCTCGGACCAACTTCCAACCTGGTGTAACTGTGCTTCCCAGAGCCTGTGGGAAAGTCTACATCACTGTACCCTGAAAAGGCCAGTGAGCAAGTGCAACCTACTGCATATAAATATAGCAGAGCCCACTGCCCTCAGGAGGCTCAGACAAAGCCTGAAATGGCTAATGGATTCCGTTTCATATGCCACTACATCAATCACTGCTAGTAACTACTCAAGGTGCCCAGGGTGTTCTAAAGTCACACTCAAGCTTGGTAGGAAAAAAAGAAAAAAACGCTCTGATCTGAGATTGGCTAGTAATGTCTGCCATAGGCAAGACATTATGGGATGGCACTACAGACTGAAAATTATGTACCTGTTTGCCACCCTGGGACTAGGCCAATCCTTCCTCCACATTTGAAGAACTCTTCTATATTCTGCCAACAAGAATTCTCTTAACAAGATTAAATACTTTCAGAGCTTAAATTTCCTCAACTCTTCATGTTCTGAGCCTCCTTCCTCTGGGCATGGTCCAGTTTATGAATTTCTTTCTTTTACAACAAAATAGTTAGGGTGGAACACAGCATCAAGGTATAGCATGGGCCACAGAGGGAAGTACACTTGTGCCTTCGTCTACACCCCAAGATGCACCAAAGAGCACTGTGATAGTAGAGTCTCAGGAGATGTCAAATAGCTGCCTAGTAAGAACTAGAGCCAAGATTAAAAAAACCAAAGGTCCCACAGGGTCTTAGAGGCAGGGAAAGGATCCCCGGCTCTCTGTCCTAATCCCATGAAACAGAGTTAAGACAGTAGTATTGGGTTCTGTACCATACATCCAGACACTCAGCTAAGTGAGAGGGCAGATGGCATCTCAGACAGCCTGGTATAGGTCTGCCCAGCATCCTGCTGTGACTAATGTTTAGTTGATGTGTAATACATACTGTTTTCCCATTTGTCATTTTTCAACTCCTTTTACACTTGTTCTCTCATTTGGTTTAGTCTCCTACTTAATGAGACCATACCATGATCCTTCCTTAACATCAAGCAATGATATGAAATTTTTACAATTTTTGTGAAAGAGAAAAAAATAAAGCAAAATAAATGAGACCGTAAGGATCAGGGTTTCTATTCCCTTTTAACTATTTCCTTTTAAAAAAAGACATTCTCTAGTGGGGGACGTCCCCTACTCCAGAACTGCAAAGCTAGGAATTTATGTCTTTGGTAATGGGATATAAAATCACAGCATCTACTTCATTGATGGAGGAAGATAAACTGGGGGCAAGGAGGCAATGAAGCCTGCTGAGGATCATGGCGAGCTAGGAAGAAAACAGAGGCAGGTGCTCTCCTGCCCCCACATGTATCCCCTTCCTGGGGCTGTCCTGTACTAGCAGCCAGCAGTATCCTAGGCCCAGCTTTCACTCCCCAATCTAAGGACAACAGACAAAGTAGCAGTCCCACCTGTGGGGAGCTGGCGACAGGCCCAGCCATCATGCCCCGGACAATCAGGCCAGACTTCGGCCTGGTCCTCTCCACTGGCCTCTTCAGGTCCATGCAAGGCTCTGACGAGTGAAGATGATCCACCTTCTCCCACCCAGGAGCCAAAGGGAGGCTGTCACTGGGGACCATATGCGTGGGCTTACTTTTGTGTGGGGTGTTTTTTGGTGATGTGAAATTGCCAAGCATGTCCCCATCGAGACTGTCATGTCTGCAAAAACAGTATTTTCATTAAAACAGGGTCTCCCAAGAAATTAACAATGACAATAATAAATTCCACAGTTAACCATCATTCATAGATATATGATGGTTTATAGCCAGCCAATGCTCTGTCATGAGAGGTGAGGAACAGAAAACATGGTGGCATCAGGGCAAGTACAGCAAAGACAAGAAAGCAAAATTAGGAACCATGGCCCACAAAGGGACTAGGTCCTGATGTCTGAAGGCTGAGAAGCCTCCCTGCCTTCCAGATCTGAATGATCAAGGATCAGGAACCTGCAGTGCAGCCATAGTACAGAGCCGGGCTTGGCTACACAGAGAGTGCAGGGAACTCCTGGGGCAAACGACGTTTCTGGCTGTTTAGGTCGAGTTGCACAGGTATATATATGCACATGAGATGGTGGGAGAGAGGAGATGAGGGGAAGGGAGGGGAGAAAGCAAAAGAGGGCAAAAAATGGGAAACAATCAGTTGCACTATGATGGGGCATGAGGAAGGAGCCAGGGCAGTGGAGTGACCTGGAGAGACCATCAGAAGACTGCCTGAAGTCTAAGCACGTGGCCTGTAAAAGGACAAGCTCGAGTGAACAGTGGGGGTTGGTCTTGTACAGAGACTCACAAGTTATCCTAAAGAGTTTTGGTTTTCTCCTAAAAGCTGCAGGGAGTGGCTTGCCCTAATGTGTTTTGTAGAAAGCTCACACTGTCTGGGGTCAAGAGCGGATCTGTGAACAAGCTGACCAGAGGCATGGCATCCAGGGAAGCACTCATAAGAGCTGTGCGGGTGTGAACAGAGGCCCCTGTCATCAGCGCAGGAAGAGCACAAGAGCTGACAGGATGCAAAAATGCAGAAAATGTCAGACAAGGAAGAGTGAAGCACACCCAGGTGTGGGGCTTGGGAGACTGGGGGACCCAGGAGCTTTAACTACCTCATTTCTGGTTTTGTTTATTGATTTCTGTGCATTGGTTTTGCTTATTGATTGTTCCCAGGCAGGTAGCAGATGCTTTTGAAAGAGGGGCCACTTTCATATCACCCTCAAGGCCTTTCATGTTTGAAGCCTCTGCCCTTTCTTGGCTTGACATCCATGCACTGAGCATTTTCAACTTTCAGAAAGGAAATGCTTTTCTGCCAAGTATAAAAGACCCATTCCAACTATTGGTGACCTCATGCTGTGTGTGATGGTAGCAAGTTACACTCATTATTGGAAGTGCATGTAGCATATGTTGGTTATAAACTAGTGGAATTCCTCTCCAAATTACAGAGGTTAAATCAAGACTACTGTACACCTGTTTTGAAGCAAATCAAATCAAGCCCCTGAATCTTAGGAATCATGGGATATAAAAAACAACGTTTGAATCATATGTAATCTCCACCACAAAGTGGTCCCCTTTCAAGGTCTCTCAAGAAAACAGTACGGCTCGTGACAGAGATTTTGAAACACAGAGTACAGAAAGCTGAACAGTGACACCCAAATATGTATACATCCTGAATCCTGGAAACTGCAGCTCTGATATCTGCGATAGTCAAACTTCACTGTCAACTAGATTTAGAATAATCTCTGGGTGTATCTGTGAGAGTATTTCCATAAAGGTTTATCTGAGGTGGAAGACCCACCCTGAATATGGGCAGTGCCATCCCATGGGTGGAGGAATAAAGGGGGTAAAAAGGAAAAAACGAACGAGTACCAGTATTCCCCTCTGCTTCTTGTCCACTATGATGTGAATAGCTTTCCTCTGCCACATGTGTCTGCTGCCAAGAGGATAATCCAAGTAACCATGGGCTCAGTAACTATGAGTCAAAATAAATTCTTCCTTTAAGTTGCTTCTATCTGGTATTTAGGTCATAGTGATGAAAGTAACTGATGCGTTACCCTATATAGTAAAGTAACAAATCTTGAGGCGCAAAGATTATCATAGACTAACTGATGTGATTAAGGTAATTAATCACCAAAGTCTTTTGTGGAGGGAGACAGGAGGACCAGCGTAAGTAATGAAGTTGGGGATGTAACAATGCAAGCTGATGTGTGAAAGGCAGACTTTAAGGAGGAAGAAGGGGCACTGAACCAAAGAATATAGGCAGCCCTAGAAGCTGAGAAAGGAAAGGCAGTGGATGTCCCTCGCCCAACCTGCAGAAGGAACTGGCCCTGTGGATAGCTTGCCTTTAGCCCAGGGAAACTGATTTCAGACTCCTGATCTGCAGACTATAACATAAGCTACAATGATGGTTAAATTTCATATATCAATTGAGCTGGGCTATGAAACACAGGTGCTGAGTCTAAGACCAGTCCAGATGTTACAACTGGTTGACTTTAAGGAAAGCAGATTTAGTTCTGTTTCCCTGGAGAACACTTACTGATACAGTCATTTAGTCACTGTGATTCATTATGGCACCTCCTGAAACTGACATGCAGAGCAAACAGAAAGAGCCGGTACCTGGCACTGCTTGCTTCCATCCATGATGTTCTCCTTCCTGTGTCTTCGTTTGAAAGATCATATCTATTTACCAGTGTGGTCTCTGAGCATCTCGAAGGCAGCTTGTTATTCTTCTTTGGAACTGGGAGTGCAGGAATTGGGGTTTCTTGACTTATGTTACTGTCTGTATTTCCAGAGTGATCCAGAAAGTATCTGGTAATGAGTTCAAGGTTTGTTTTTAGAGGATTTCCCTTTGCCTATCATTGACAGAGGAAAAAAAAAAGTCATTAATTGAATGTATACCTTTGGGTGAAAAAGAAGACTATTTCAACTCTTTGACATGTGTTCACCAGCTTTTCAGTCACACTGAGCTTCCAGCAAACACACGCTGACTTGTTGCCTACTCCCTGTGCCAGGCACTGTGTTGGGGAAAGATTCACAGACAAGGACAAATCTCTACTGTAAAAAGAACTAACATCCAGTGCATGGACCAGACAGGTCAGTGGACAATTGCAATAGTAAGTGTGGTATGACAGAGGACTGCCCAGGCAAATCTCCTTTTGTGTTCCTACTAGAAATAACTATAAAGGATATAACCTTTCATTTTAAAGCATACATATTTCTTTTAATTTATTATGTGTTATTTGGGGAAAGGGATGCATGCCCGAGTATGCATGTAGACATCAAAGAGCAGTGTTCAGGGGTCCACCATCTTGCTGGACACTACAGATCCAAGGAGCATTGGGACCTGACCATTTTATTAGTGGGTGTTATGATTTGAACTGGGATGCCCCCACGGGCTCTTGTTTTAGGCATCTGGTCATCAGCTAATGGCTTATTTTTAAGCCTATAGTTTTAGGAGGTGGTAGAAATAGGTTATGAGGGGAAGGATTGTGAAGGTCACACCTGCCTGGTTCCAGCCTAACCACTTCTGATCTACACCATGTGAATAAACCAACTCACACTCCATTTACCACGCGCTCCCTGTCATGACGAGTTGAAATACCAAAACCCATGATCCAAAGTAAACCTTTCATCCCTTAATCTGTTTCTGTCAGCTGACCCTCCTAAAACAAAGACCTCTAGATAGGCTGACTAGATTCACCAGAAGGGCAAGAAGTGGGGAATGGCTGGGGGAGCTGACAACACAGCAGACAGAAGCAGGGATATCAGAGTATATGGGCTCTAGTGGGGGGAGGGAGGCTATGGGAGGGTGCTATCTGGGAAGTGGGTGTATAGTCGAATAAGATGGTTTGGTATGTTCTGTGTGATATACACACAAAAAAAATCAACAAATTAAAAAAAATGTATTACATTTTAGGAGGAA